AATTTAAAGCAAATAGCCTCAGATAAAGAATATAATCCAGAAGAACTAAGCGCATGGATTGATTCCCAAATAAAATATTACAAACTAAATTTTTAAAAATACTCAAATCCAATCAAACTTATAAAATATCCCAGATTAAAAGTTTATTTCGTACCTTTAATTTACAAAATAATTAAAATAAATAAATAAATATTTAAAAATTAATTGCAATTAATTTTTATTTTCATTATTTTACGCTCATTTTTTGGCACTTTCTAGTCAGCACTCCAAAAACTTTAGTCTGTAATTAAATAAAGAAGCAAGCAAGCAACATTTCTCAACTTGAAATTGTGTTGATTTATTTCTGTTGAAAGTTGAAATGTTGAATTTTGTGAATTTTTGGCAAAAAATGTGGAACGCTTCACGATTTTGCGTGTCATCCTTGCGCAGGGGCCATGCTAATCTTCTCTGTATCGTTCCAATTTTAGTATATGTTCTGCCGAAGCAAGAACAAAATTGTGTGTGACAAAAAGTCTACTTAAGCTACACATGTCCTTAATATTGTCTTGTGAAGTATAAGATTTGGTATAAAAATCACTGAAAGTGGAACTGAATGGAAAATGGAACGGAATTGATATAAATTTTGGTGAAATTGAATTTTTGCAGGTAAATTTTGAGGTTTTAAAACTTTTTGGATGTGTTTTGATTCCAATTTTGAATGTTATTGAATTTATTGACGAACATTTGTGAACTTTCGAACCAAAACCATGATTTTTTGTGAATATTTTGCTTCAATTTGCCATTTCAACTCTAAAAAACTGTCTTAATTGCTGTCAAAGTTCAAGAACAGCACCAAAAAAATCACATTCGATGCAAAAACTTCCTCTTACTTCTCCAACTCTTAACTTGTTGCCACTCAACCCATTAACACCACAACAGCGCCAAGTTGCAATCATAAAGCGATAAAAAGTCGTTCCTCTAACTGCTGCTGCAGCTCATGTTGATCATCATCTTATAAATCAGTTCAGCATTTTTTTTTTGAATCGATAAAGCACGCGAAAGTAATTTGCACCTCTTTTATTGCAGGTTCACTGCATCGCACCTTTAAAAACTTGTTCAAGACTCAAAAGATAGAGAAAATTGAGGATGGTAAGTGCTGTGTCTAATCATCACATCTGCAGACTGAATTATCGACTCAATTTTAATGAAAATCTTTTACATTTTCTGAGCTGTAATTTGTAATTTGTGGCTGAGTTGAGCTCATCTAGGCTGCAGATGAGTTTAATTTAAAATTTATTGGATCAAATGTTATCGATGATTGAGATTTGTGGCTGATTGTGGATGAATTGGAAGCTGTTGATGGACTTTTTGATGGATTTTCTGGATTGTTGAGTTTACTGTTGGATTTACGGAGGTCAATTGAGATCAGTTTGGTGTCTAAAATTCAATATTAAGCAACATAACCTCAAAATGGGACATAAAACGCCTAATAAAGTCAGCTGAACTTCCTAAACCCCCTCAAAATCTTAAAAAAAATATTTATTAAAAAAACAAGCAAGTTAATGAACTAATTTGTGCCTCAATTGTGTCTGTTAATGTGCAAAGCCAAACTTTTATTCATTCTTTATGTCAAGTCATGTCCAATTTGGTTGTGTAAATATTTACGAATGAGACACGTTGAGTAAATTAAGCATATCACAATATCCATTTCATAATTCATACTTACTTATTTATGAGAATGAATGGAGGTCCAATTTAGTCTGTTTTTTTTTGATAATTTGCTTCAACACGATATAATAATCCTTTATTTAATTAATGATATACGTCGACACAAACTGAATTTATCTTGATGTTAACCTCGTCGGTTTTAAATCAAATGTAAAAAATGAAATGTGATTATTGATATGACATGAGTTAAGTTTGAACTATTGAGATGCGGTCAAAAAAAATTAGCAAAAAGACCAAAAAAAAAAATATAATAATAAAAAAATTAATTAAATACAAAAAAGAAAATTAGATATTAATGACGAGGCTTCGGCAATTTATGTTTTGCTCGGAAGCTCAATGAATCTTAACTGTATTGGCCAAGTGATGAAATTAAGTCATTAGAATGGTGTGTAATTTTTGAGTAGAAATTGTCGGTAAGACGAGATATGAAATCTGACATTAGAGGGGTATTGGCAGTCTTGTGAATTTCATTAACTGTTCTGAAATCCGACCAATTGACATTGAGAATCATCCGAATAATTTTGTTTTGGAACAACTGAAGTTTCTTAAGATGACAGGCTGCTGCATTGGCAAATATTGGACATGCATAAGTCAGGATAGGTCTAATGAACGATTTATAAATTCTAATTTTTGAATCGACAGTAGCTGATGACTTCCTGCTCAAAAGACAATAGAGACTTGAAAAGCTTGCAGCACTTGCTTTTTGAATTGAACGATCAATGTGATCTTTAAATGTCAATTTCTGATCAAGGATAACGCCTAAATATTTCACCGACTCCTTCCAGTTGAAAGATTGGCCATTGAAATTGATGGAATCGTTGCCTAACATCCTGATCATTTTTGTCGATTTGGTGAAGACGATGAACTCTGTTTTGGATTCATTTAGTTGGATTTTCCAATCAAGGAAAAAGCTTTGCAGGCGAATAACTGTTTTACACAACTCAGATTTGATAGCTTTGAGATTCTTCCAAGGGAATTGAACGAAAAAAACAGTATCATCTGCGTATAAGCAGAGATGTCCTTTGGATGGAATGGGAACATCGTTTATGAATAGATTGAACAGATGTGGGGCAATCAGTGAACCTTGCGGGACACCAGATGAAACATCAAAGAGATAAGAGAAGGCAGACTGGCAAACCACGAATGCTGAACGATTGGAAAGATATGAATGCAACAACTTAATCAAATATTTGGGATATTTATTCACAACAAGTTTATGAACCAATCCATCATGCCATACGCTATCGAAAGCCTTACGAAGATCTAGTAAAGCCATTCCAGTGCTTTTATTCTTGTTGTAACCAAATGAGATAGTTTCAGAAATTCTTAAAATTTGATGAACTGTGGAATGATTAGTCCTGAATCCACACTGCTGCTTGATGATGATGTTATTGTCAAGCTCATAGTCATTTAGACGCATCAAAATAATTCTTTCAAAGCATTTGCCAAGACAAGAAAGGATTTGCTTCAATTTGATCGAATTATTGCACATTATTAGAAATTTAAGGTAATTTTGAGGTTATGTCAGTCAAATAAGCACAAAACTTTCTCAATTTCCATCCAAAAAAAATCCACAAAATCACCAAGAAATCCACAAAAACACAACAAAGACATCTAAAAATGAATTTTTCGTTCACATTTCGTGCTTCAGTTTCATTAAAAATATCTCAAAAAAATGTCATTCATAATTCATTGCCTGCCTGTCTCATTAGAAGAAGTGAAAGTCCATAAATGAAACGCAACTCTTTCCCCGTGTGCCTTTACATCCTCTATGTGCAGCACATCCACGTGTCTATTTTGTAATTTCTTGAATTAATTAATTCACATTTTTACCTTTTTTATTTACTTTTCAGTGCCTGCTCGCCTGCCTGCTCGCCTGCCTTGTTTGCTCAACAAATGATGGAATTTTCTTTATTTTATTCATGTGGGGATGTGATGATGACGAAGGTTTTGTGGAATGAGAAATATTGGGAAGGAAATGAATGTGGCACTTCCACCCAACTCCTGAACAGCACCGAGAAAATATCGATTAGCATAAATGTACTTAAATATTTACTGTTCATTTAATTAATTTCACTGAGTTATGAGACACACTTTTTTGAGGTTATGTTGCATTGTGGACATGAATTTTAATAGTTTTAAGAATTTATTAATTTTTCATGAAAACATTTTTATTAAAAAATGGAGAAAAAAAAATAAAATTTAATTGCATAATTAGTCTGAGCTATTTCTGAGCTTCTCGTTGATGCTGTTTAGTGCTTCTTAGATTTCTTATTTATTAGTTTTTGAGTTGGTGGTTGAGTGGATGTTGTGTGTTACTATGAGTGGGTAGGAGATGCAGCTAATGTCCATAATAAGATGGAATTTGATTTGGATTCAGCAGCATCAGCAGAGCAAGATAAATGTTCAATTTTGTTTCAAGAAAATCAACAACGTTCATCAAAATTCACCACAAATTTCAACAATCCAAGCTTCAGCATCACCAGCAACTCCTCAATTCACATCTAAAATCAAGTTTCAAAATTCATCTTCAATTAACCCTTCCAACATTCCCGTTACTGTCGCTCTGCTTCTTTTGCCTTCTTTATTTGCTTGTCTTACTTCCTCACCTTTTTTTCACTTCCTTCATTCTTTTTTTGCTCCTTTTCTGTATCTTGTTCTTGTTCCTGTTGTTGATATGCAAATTAAGTAGTTTTTACCGTCTTGTTCTCATCTTTTTCACATGCTTGACTGGGAATTTAAAGGAATAAAAAAAATAATTTAGGGACACACACATGTCGAATCTGTTCCTGTTGATGCTTTTTATGCTGAAATTATTTAATAAAAAAATTAAAATTTGAATATGAAAAGAAATTTTGAAGATTTTTTTTTGAATTTTATTTTTGTCTTGTGAGATTGAATTTTTTATGAATAGTTACGGTACCGTGGGATTATTGAGGATGTTAAGAATTATTTTTTATGATATACAGTACGAGCTACTTAAACTGAAGGTACGGAACCAGTTAAACTACAATAACCCCAACTAAACTATAGAATTTGCCTAATCTTGGAACTAAATTTAAATAAAAATCCTTTAGTTCCTCACACTCAATGTTCCCATCCCTAGAAAAATCAAAAACATACATATTGTCATTAATACAGCATTGATTTAATGTCTTCAAGTAATTAAGATAATAAAAAAAATATAATCAGTAGTTGTGCGATTTTGTTGCCGATTCGTACGTCCGAGATAAGAATAATTTTTGTCGATTTGATTTTATTCACACATGATTCAGATAAGAAAAGACAGTCTACAGATAGAGACCTGCCAAATATCAATCATAAGGTAAGTTTTTGATTTGTTAAAATTGATTTTAAGGTTTTCTGATTTTTTTGAGTGGGTTAAAAAGGGTTTTGGTGGTGGTTTGTGTGGCAATGGTTTAAAATTTTGAAAATTTAAATTTTAAAAATTGCTGAAAAGTTTTAAAAATTATTTTAAAAAATACGAAAAATCTATTTTGATTGTTTTTCAATTTTTTAATTATCATTTCTTATAGTTTTATTGACTTTTTGATTATATTTTAGTATATTTCATCATTAAACCAATTATGAGTAGCTTTAAATCCCCCTCATAGCCCCCAAAAACCAACATAATCTCCCCAATCTCACAAAACTATCCACTAAATCACAGATTATCAATATTGATTACCAAAAACCCCAAACCTGACTTCTCCAATAAAGATAAAAGAACTTTAAATTGTCTTATAGATAAATCTTACTAATCAATCAATCAATCCAAAGTTCATAATAAAATGATCGTAAATATCTATCGATAAAGATAGTTGGGCAGATAAAGAAGTCAAAACATTGACTAATGTAAGAAAAATAAAAACAAAAAACAAAAAAAAACTAGCGATGAAAAACATTCGGTAAACATTGGTGTGTCTGTGATATTTTTTTTTATTTATAATTTTGGCTATTAATAGAAAATTAACTCAAGGACAGAATTCTAGACTTACTTGAACTCACTAAGCCAGTAAGTTCAATAATCCATAATTTTATTAATATTTTTTATTGCCAAAATCAGAAATGCAGGATAAGGAGCTACGTCTGCATATACAATCTCAAGCTAAAATACTGTCGCAGCTTGGTAAGGAGAGGAAGAAGGATGATCGTGAAGTTAAAGAGGTATGGATGCACTAGATTACGTACTTAATGCCTGTACACTTGCAATTTCAACCAATTTCAGTATCTTTATGGACCAAAAGAAGGAACAGTATCGAAAACATTTCGATGGATTTGGAGTCACAGAGTAGCTCGAATGGGTCAAGATTGGATATTCTTAGCACTACTGGGCATGTTGATGGCTGTGATATCATACGTGGTCGATAAAGGAATACTTATGTGCATGAATACAAGAGTGTGGCTTTACAAGTAAGCTTCAAAACTAATTTATGATCAATTCTAGGTTTGTTGATGGATTTGAACTTTTAATTCCAGAGATCTCGACTTTGAGAATCCTGTGGCTAGATATCTGGCTTGGGTGTCCTTACCTGTGTGTTTGGTTCTATTCTCGGCTGGGTTTGTAAGTCAGCTAGCACCAACATCGATTAGTAAGTAGAAAATCAGCTCTTATTAGACTTAAACCCATCCCGAAGCAATCCATACTAAATATTCACAATCCATTTCCTTCCAGGTTCTGGCATTCCAGAAATGAAGACAATCCTCAGAGGCGTTCAACTCAAACAACTCAAAAAGTTTCTCACTTTCAAAACTTTAGTTGCCAAAGTCATCGGCTTAACAGCAACTCTTGGAAGTGGCATGCCATTAGGCAAGGAAGGTCCATTCGTCCACATCGCCAGCATCCTTGCACAAATCCTCAGCAAATTGTCAATATTCCGAGGAATTTTTGAGAATGAGACAAGAAATATTGATATGCTGGCTGCAGCCTGTGCTGTTGGTGTTGGTGCCTGCTTTGCAAGTCCAGTTGGTGGTGTTTTATTCAGCATAGAAGTAACAACAACTTATTTTGCGGTTAGAAATTATTGGAGAGGCTTCTTTGGTGCTGTTTGCGGTGCTTTATTCTTCAGACTTATTGCTGTTTGGTTCCATAATGTTGACACTTTGAAGGCTATCTTCAGCACTAGCTTTACAATTGAATTTCCTTATGGACCACAAGAACTGCTTGCGTTTGCAATGCTCGGATTGATTTGTGGAATATTGGGTGCTCTTTGGGTTTGGGTTCATAGACAGTATGTGTACTTTACTAGAAGGAATAAATTTGTGGATAAGATTATTAAGAAGAACTGCTTTTTATATGCTGGCATATTGGCGTTGATGGTGAGTATCTGATTTAAATTAATAAAGGAGCTAATCAGGGATGAGGAAGCGAATCCTAGCCCATTTCTAACCCTCAACCCTAATCCAACCCATACCTAATTCTACCCTAACCCTAACCTAATCCTTACCTAACCCTAACCTAACCTTAACCTTACCCTAACCTAACCCTAACCTAACCCTAACCTAACCCTAACCTAACCCTAACCTAACCCTAACCTAACCCTAACCTAACCCTAACCTAACCCTAACCTTACCCTAACCTAACCCTAACCTAACCTTAACCTAACCCTAACCTAACCCTAACCTAACCCTAACCTAACCCTAACCTAACCCTAACCTAACCCTTACATAGCCCTAACTCAACTTTCCGAATCCAGACACCAAGATCTAGCTCACCTTCTTCAATTAGACTTATACAAGCTTTTAAGTTCTATTCCATCCACAGGTCTCAACCATTACCTACCCTAATGGTCTAGGGATATTTATGGCTGGAGAGCTAAGCACTCATCAGCAGGTGTCCTATATGTTTACTAACTTCACATGGTCGCAAGATGAATTATCTGCTCAGGAGATGACAATTTCAAACTATTGGACTAACCCAATTACTGGAGAAGTATTCAGTGTTTTATTTGGCTATGCTGTATTCACTGTAAGTATTTATCCTTAAATATCATCAAAGTTTAACATCTAAAATCTTCCAGTTCTTCTTTTCAATCATCACATCAACGATGCCAGTTCCAAACGGAATTTTCATTCCAGTCCTCAAAATTGGAGCAGCCTTAGGTAGAATGGTTGGCGAAGCAATGCATCTCTGGTTCCCAACTGGTGTCTTCTATGGCAATCATCTCAACCTGATAATTCCAGGAACATATGCAGTTGTTGGCGCTTCCGCATTTGCTGGTGCCGCAACTCACACAGTCTCCGTCGGTGTAATTTTATTCGAAATGACAGGTCAAATAACACATCTACTTCCTGTCATGATTGCGACATTAATTTCATGTGCTGTTGCCGCAATTTTACAACCGTCAATATTCGACTCAATTATTGTCCTCAAAAAGCTTCCGTACTTACCGGATTTATTGCCATCGGGCAGTGGCGTTTACAACTGTAAAGTTGGCGATTTTATGGTCTCGGATGTCGTTTACATCTGGAAAAGTATCACATTTAGGCAGCTCGAGGACATATTGAGAAAGAACAAGGAACTTTACAGCATACCATTGGTGGATAATGAAGACACGATGGTGCTACTTGGAACTGTGTCAAGGCATTCATTAATTCGAATGATTTACAAGCACATTGAGAGGGCAAAGAGAATGGATATTGAGAGTAAAAGAAGAGAAGATGAGGAAAAATTGAGGAAGTTCATGGAACAGCCAAGAAGGTCATCAAAGTTTGAAGTTATAAATGAACCGGATGTGGATAGACTTCGACAAATTGCTAATAATGAGATGCTAACACCAAGAGCTAAGCAGAATGTGCTGCTAATGGAACAAAAGCCACTCAAGTCGATCCTTAAAAAATCAGATTCATTCACAATGAAAGGCTTTAATCCATTGTCACCGCACAGTCCAACAAACAGCACAGACTTAAAGTTACGCTCAGCATTTGACGTTGTGTACCAAAAATCAGTAACTTTACCTGACGCCATAATCGACCCTGAACTCGGTTCACCAACAGCAACAAGTGATTCAGCATCGCCAACAAAAAAAGTCAAACTTCCACTAGAAAGATTCATCGACAGACCAATGGAGGAACAAAGACAATGGAGAGCAAAGGAATTGTCTAAGCCGATTAACTTGGATGAAGGCAAAGTGACAATTGAGCCTGTTTCATTCCACTTGATGGAATCAACACCTTTAATGAAAGTTCACAGTTTGTTTGCCATGACGGGAATTAATCAGGCTTATGTGACGAGAGTTGGGCGATTGGTTGGAGTTGTGGCGTTGGAGGAGGTGAGTTGTGTGGGAATTGATGGTGATTTTGTAGATTTTTTGATTGGATGGGGATAACAATGTGGTGGGAAGTCTCATTAAGGGGGAAAACAACGTGATGGAAAAATTTTTGATTTTTTTTGATTGAGGGTAACAATTTGATTTTAAATTTTTTTAAGGGGGGAAGGGGAAAGGGGGAAACTACATGAAAGGAATTTTTTTTCAAACTCTTGCCATCTTTCAGTAATTTCTATATTTTGTGTTAAAACAAGAGCAAATTAGTGAAAAATGAAAAAATTATGATTAAATCATATTCCCATCAAGTTGTTATCCCCTTAAATTTTTTGTTTTTCTTCTTTAGCTCCGAAAAGTGATTGAAGACATAAACAACGGCAACTTGGTGATTAAGAGTGCGCCAATAGTTCCAGAGCTAATTATACCTGAGACACCAGATTCACCAGACACTCCAGAGACCCCCTTGTCCCCTCAAACACCAGAACCAACACTGATTGAGGAAATATTCCAGAAAGGATTTGATTTTGATACTAAAATTGTTAAGAATTATTGAGGAAGTTTTGGATGTTGTGAAGTGGTCGTAATGATTGATTTTGGCATCTCAAGCTCATTTTTAAGATCGAATTTTGGTTTTTAAAACTTTTACAATGCTTGAGTTAAATTTGATCGTTCAAATTATAGAACTGTATGCAATATCCAAGCTATTTCTATTAATTTAAGTGTTGTCAAGGTTGTTCCTATGTAGAATTAAGTTTCTCTTATGATTAAACACTAATATACAGTAGTTTCAAAAATTATTCATTTTAAAGTCAATAATAATTTTAATAAAATTCAAAAACTCAAAATTTCCAATTTTTTCACATCTTCAACATCCAACAACCCAAACAAAACTACTCAAAACATTTAATTTAAATTATTATTTTTAATAACTTCAGCTGCAACTGTCAGATTATTTCCTCATTCATACGTGAATTATTAATAAATTACCTTCATATCCATAAACCCTAATATACTCAAACTAGACATCATGAGAAAAAAAATATCATCAGTAATAGAAACTACTTAATTTGCATATCAACAGCACAAGAACAAGACACAAAAAAAAGAATGAAGGAAGTGAAAAAAAGGTGAGGAAGTAAGACAAGCAAAAAAAGAAGGCAAAAGAAGCAGAGCGACAGTAACGGGAATGTTGGAAGGGTTAATTGAAGATGAATTTTGAAACTTGATTTTAGATGTGAATTGAGGAGTTGCTGGTGATGCTGAGGCTCTGTTTTGAGAAGTTTTAAATTTTATCAATTTTTAAGAATGTTGAAATTATTTTTGGACAACGATTTAAATTTTCCAGAATTTTGTCATTTTTAACCTCAAAATTTTCAAGAATTTGGAAAACTATCATTAAAATTTTTGAAAACTCCAACCATAATCTCACAAATTATCCAACAATTCATCAAAATTCCCATTAATCTGGTCTTAAACCTTCAAAATCCTCCAAAAAAGTTCCATCCCTTGCCAAACAATTCTAAAATTTCAGTTGAATTTAAATCAATTTTTTGTGCTTGAAAGAATTTTTTTTTAATATTTAAATAAGATTTTTTTTACTCTCATAATCGAGAGATAGTCAGCTGCATCTGATGCTTTATGCTGCTTAAAATGTTCTTCATGATGCACCTTGAAATTATTTTTTTATGATTTTTTTTTTATTAATTTCATGACCGTTTTTGAGTCGTGCATTATTTGCTGTGAATTGATGATAAGTTTGAGGATGTTTGGTTGATGCTGGGATGGAATTTTTGAGAATTTTGAATTTAATTTTTGAGAATTTAGGCAGTTGTGATTGTATTTTGTGGACTTTGAGTTAAATTTGTCAATTATTGTGGATTTTGAGGTTAAAATGCTGATGAAAATTGAAGAATTTAATGAAATTTGTGCAACTTTTGACATTTTTATCAGCAGTAAGTCAACTTTGAGGGCATTTATTGATAAATATTGTACAAACTGACTCGACAAAAGAGTAAATGATCTTAAAATTGAGGTTATGTTGAACTAAAATGACCAAAAATTACTAAAATTGATCTCAAAATTGCAAAAAAATTAAGAAAAATCACGAAAATATTGGCGAAATTTCATCAAAACTTCCAAAATTAAAAGTCACAAAAACTCAATTAAATTCAATCTTACTCCAAATAACTCAAAATATCTTCAAAATCTTAAAAAATTTCGAAAATTCTACAACAAAAGATCCAATTTTTCATTTTTTGTTCATTTGTAAATTTTTTATTGGCTTAGTTCCCTAAAAACCAGCACAAAACATCTCCAATTCAGTTAACAAATCTTATAGACGCATTGCTGACTTGCTACATGCTGAGATGTTATTGGAAATTCATCCCAATTTTTTCGATTACAAAAAGTGACTTGCAGAAAAAAAAGAAGAAGAAGTCGGAAGGGATGGCAACAAATGTGCTGCTGCTGCTGCTTCGATTAGAAAATGAAATAAAAATAAAATGTGCGGATTTTTTTAAGGCAAGAAGAAGGGAAACACGAATTTTTTAGGGTGAAATTTTTTTGCTTGATTTTTTTTTGTGTTCGATTTTTTAAAAATGAAGAAAATTCGAAATGGTGGAAATTTTTATTCTTTTTTTGTGTGTTTTGGTGCTGTTTGTGCCTGCAGAGTCACATTCGTGGTTGTTGTTTTTTGAGCTGAGTGGGTTGAAAAATATTTTTGGAAGCATTTTTGGATGTGATTCTTGGAATTGTTAAACAATAAATCTGAATTTACATCCACAACCTTTCCAGACCCCCAACAGCACCCCCAAAAAATCCTCATCTCCAAAAATAAAACAAAAAGATGAAAAATCTTGAAGAATTTTCTCAATTTTTTCATTAAAAAATATTTCTTTATTTCCACCCAAACACAAGTTGAAGTCCACACGACTCGTCCTCCTCAAAGCAGTGGAATGAGATGCGAGCAGAAAATGAGGCAAAAAAAGTATAGAAGACGAAGGAAAAATATCATTTACCGCTGTTGCGAAGTATTTTCTTGTGTAGATTGAAGATGGAAAAAAATCGGATGAAAATTTTCAAGTTGTAAAGGCACTGCAGAATTAGGTTTAATGGGCACAAGACGCATTTTTCGGGGGAGTCTTAAAAAATGCTCAGAAAATGTTCTCAAAGTTTGAAATTAATTCTCAATGAAATTAATTTATAACTTCAAATTCTAGTAACCAGACATCCAGACATCCAGCCAATCTATAGCCAGCACCTTATTTCATCTCCTCCAACCACACAAGCATCTCAACTCGAATTTTTCACATTTTCTTTTATTTATTTTTCCTTTCTTTTTTCCATCATTTATATTTATTTTTTCAAGGCACGGCATCAAGTGACGAGATCCACAAGATATCTTAAGAAATAGAAATGGAAATAAAGCACCAGGCAGGGGAGTGGGGGGGGGATGAAGAAGGAGTAAATATGGAAATGAAGAGTGATGGATATGCGCAAGATTGATTGAAGTTGAAATGAATGTCGAAATATGAAATTTTTGTGCTTCGTCTTGGACATGAAATGAAACATAGCAGCTGCCATCGTCTTCTTATTCTGACTCATTTTTTTATTGTTATTTAAATCAATTTTCTTATGTGGAATTTTACTTGTGAATTTTAAATCAGATTTCTTTCCTTTTTTTGGGTTGGATTCTTATTGGATTCCGTGTTCTGTATTGGGGATTAATGAGGATGAATGAATCAATGGACATAGCTAGAATAAGGTTATAAAAAGATAAGTTTGACAGTCCTGAACCTCAACATCCAAGAAAGAATATAAAACTCTGGTTTTGTAGCTACTAAGGTTGGATAAGACAGCTTGGTCTCTAATATTGACTTTCAATGGTTCTTCTGGCTAGGATTATTCATAAGATAACCTCAAAGTGTCATCAATAATCCAGAATTCTTTAAAATTGTCAGCCACAAACCTCATTCAATCCACCTAATTTCAACCCTTTCGTCCACACAAACCTACCTAGTCCCTGTTCCAGTCCCAGCCACACCTACACATCCTGAAATAATTTCCATATTTTCCATTCAAAACTGAAAATTAAGAAAATTCATCCATTAGACACACTCAAAATAAATGAAATAAAATAAAGCAAGAAGAAGCAAATCGAGTCGAGTAAAATGATGGAAGTACGAGTCAGTCATGCACGCGCCAACATAAAAACTCACCCTGGCCAAAAATAATAAAAATAAAAATTCGAAGAAAAATTGAAAAAGAATCGAAAGGAGTTCCAACAATAACAGCAATAGCAAGAGAGGCCCGGGCATATACGGAGTAAGGCACATACATATCGTTCACACATCCATACATACATACATACATCCATTCATTCAGTCACTCGAGTAAGCCACGCCTTTCGTTGAATTCGAATTGAAGAAAAAAATCTCGCGTCTCGTAAATTTTTCTACTTTTTTTTTTGTTGCTGCTGTTGCTGTTTGTGCTTGCTTGGCAATAACACACGACACAAGAAGTAAAGGAACAAGAATATCAACAGCAGAAGCAAGGGATATATTTATGTACTTAATATGTGCTGTTTTCTTTCCTCGCATCGATTTCTCGAGCAAGTTTCGAGTTAAATGTGAGGAACTGACTTGACGCAAGCGTGACTCCCCTTTCGCGGATTGTGGATGGAATTGGAACTAGGAATGAGAGATGAAAATGTTGTTAATTAAACCCTTCGTGTGCTGCTTTCACACACACACATACATGCATGCTCAGTGACTTGTTTGTGTGTGTGAGTAAGGCATAAACATATATGAGAGATTCTCACGTATGCTGAATGTTGCTGGCTGCTCAATGTTTTTTTTTATTCTGTTGCTTTCTCCTTCTCGTCCCACACACAACACATTTTATGCTTATGCGATACATCACACACACACACATACATACATATACATATACAGGCACAGATGTACAGGCATATGAGATTCATATATGAGAAATCGAACACTTTTCTTTTTTTGGTGCTCAGCTTCTGCTTGTTGTGAATGTGTTGGTGAAAATTTTGCGATCTTTTTTTTGTGTCAATTTTTATTTTATTTTGTTGCTGCTTTTTTTGGGAGATGAAAAAAGGGGAAAATTTTGTGTCTTTTTTTTTATTATTACACGCTTTTATTTAACTCACACTGTTTGTATGTTTCATGCGTCAAATTTTGTAATCGTTATTTCGATCACTTCTACTGCTCCAAACGAGCTCAAATTTTTTATGCACACTTATTCTCGGTGACAATGCAATATTTTAACACTTTGTAACCACAAAAATGCTTAATTATAGTACAATTTAGGTAAAACTTTTTTATATGGGAAAAAATCCAATGTCAATGACATATAATTTTGATTTGTTTAAAATATTATACTTGAAATGCTCAAAAGTCATTTACATGATTTATTATAGTTTAATTAATATTATTAATTATTAATTATACTATAAATTTGAACAGCTAAAGATATTCTCGTTAAAAAAATTGACAAGTAATTTTTTCATGAATATTCGTAAGTGAAAATTTGAATTTTCAAAAAAACCGTTAAGCACAAGTCCGTTACGAATTAATGCAAAATAACTATTAAAATGCGATGTGCATTTAGCACACATAGTTTGAGCATAAATTTATGCTGTTTTAAATGTATTGCATTATTTATAACACTTCACCAACTTAATTAAATTGACTTTTCTTTTTATTAACGGCTTGACGTATTTTTGCATAACATATAAATGACATTCATTTAATTTAAATTTGAAAATCCGTTATAAATACGTTACACATATATGTGATTTGCATCTTTATGTTAAGAATCCACACGTTATGAAGTAGAAATTGACAGATAAACACAAAATCTTTACGAGTGATTTTTAATGTACTTTACTAATGAATGCTTTAAAAGAATTAAATTATATAAAACGAATAAAAAATTTTGATAGTCTTTACTAATTACCCATTAAAAACTGGTATTCAATAAATAGTTGAACAAAACGGAGTGAAACGAAGTGAAGTTTAGAATTTTGGAAATTGAATTGATTTGGAGATTTCATAAGACTAAAAAGTAGAAAATAAAATACTTTAAAAAAAACTTTTTTTAAAAAAAGCACGCTTTTATTTCCGATTACAGAGCACTAAAAAGGAGAAAATAATTTTTTTTGCTAAGCTCTCAAATTTGATACAAAATTTTATGACTCAAAATAAAAGCGTGGGGCGTTCTTATAAATATCACTAAATCTTGAATTTGTATATTTACATAAACGTTAGGTCTTCAATGTTTATAGGTTTGTCTAAGGAGAATGATGAGCCCTTACAAATTATGGTAAATCTGAGACGGTAGACTTGATCTCCATGAGACTAATGTAGAGTTTTCTGTGTGGCACTAGAAATCAAGTCTTACTCTCCTGCTAAATCTAACTAGTTCCTTTGTGTCAAAAAATAATTTGAGATCAAAACTTTAAAAGGTCTTTCGTTTTAATACAAAAGTTGAATTAAGAAATGGATAATTAAACTGAATTAAAATAAATTTTGGAAAATCTAGAGCCAGTTTAAATTTAACGCCCCACGCTTTTATTTTGAGTCATAAAATTTTGTATCAAATTTGAGAGCTTAGCAAAAAAAATTATTTTCTCCTTTTTAGTGCTCTGTAATCGGAAATAAAAGCGTGCTTTTTTTAAAAAAAGTTTTTTTTAAAGTATTTTATTTGTGGGTTGATGAATTTTATTGGAATTTTTTGGGTGCCTTTTTGATGATTTAAAAGAGATTTTGGTGAATTCTACGGTGATGGGAAATTTATGGAGCATGAAAATTATGTTTTTGGGATTTTTGAGGTTAGAAAAAATAAATTGAATGTCAAAATCTTTACTTTTCCACTTCTTATCTGATTGGAACCACCAAAAGTTATTAAAGTCCTTCTATGAATTCTTCAAATTCCCAAAATGACACAACATAAAAATCTCATCCAAAAAACACACGAAAAACCGATCAAAAAGATTACATATCACTGATATCCATAAAGTAACCCGCATGATCTCATATAAAATACATGAAAAAATTAATCTCAATAACAACAACAAGAACAATCAACAAGACACTCAACAATGAAGAAATGAAGCCAGAATCAAAAGTTATCGTTTATTAAATCATGAAATAAAATTTAAAAGAAATGAAAAAAATAGTTTGAAAATTAAAATGTGAGAAAAATTGAATGGAATGAGATAAAAAATAAGTCAAGCGATGGACATTAATCCTAGATTTTTAATGGAATTTATAATCAAGTTTAAATCTAATTTACTCAAATTTTTATGATTTTTTCAACATTTTGAAAGATTGAGCATCAAAATTGACATTATAACCTTAAAATGTTCAATCTGGTTCAACTCACAAAGTCCCAATCAGGTACCTCCACCTTGCATATCCACACATTCACTTCCAATTTCATATCCACAGTCAGCCTCAAATAATAGATCAATAATCACATCCAATTCACATTTCATTTCCAATTTCTTGTTTGTTTCTTTGACAGCTCTGACTTTCGATAGACAAACGAGATCGCCCGTGATTTAGACTCATGCACTGTATGACTTCATTCTCCTGCTTGACTTCATACATCATTTGCCGACCAGTCTCATCCGAACATGCCGCGGCATTAAAATAAAATTAAAAAGAGAGCTTTTTTTTGACTATTTCGGCATCGTCATCATGATTTTGAGGTACTTTATGATGTGTTCGTGATGTGATTCATATGTGAATTTGAATTGTGAGGATTGTTGAATGTTTTGGTCGTGCTGGAGTGAGTTTTAGTTGTTCATTTAGGTCCTAGTGGATACTGTTGGTTCCTTGACTAGTTTTAAGGATTATTTGACTAGTTTTTGGTCATTTTATCATTGATTTGAAGCATCTTGGTTCAATTAAGACCAATTGTGCAGCACTGTCATCTTTTAAGCTTAGAATCCTCAAAACTGACCTCAATAAATCTTCCCAGCATGCAAACATCAACAATTAATCCAAAAGAATCTCATAAATTACCAAAAAAAAAATTAAATTCAGGAACTAAAGAATTAATCCAAAAACTTTCCAATTAATTCACAAAATCCATCAAAAATCCACGCATGAAAAAAATTAAGCAAACCGTAAATCACATAAACACACATCTTGGTGCTGTTCATCGATTCTGTTTGGCATGAATGATTCCTCATCTCATTGATCGATTCTTTTCGTCTCTTTTGTTCTCCTTTTTTTCATCTCAATTCTTAATTCCGATGATCTGCTTCTATTTCTTTTGGCTTTTATTCTTTCTCGATCTATGCTGGATTGTTGCTTTTGTGGATGTAATTGGATGTGGATTTAATGAATGTAAAGTTTTTTTTTCTTTTAAGTTGAATTGATTATTATTTTTAGTTTCGGTAATGTGAGGATGATTGGAATGTTTTGTGCATGATTGTTGGGATTTTGTGTCAATTAAGTGGGAATTGTGACTGGTTTTTTAAAGAATTTGGGAGCTAAAGGAGGTGACATTTGTGGTTGTCCTACTCAATTGTGATCTGTGATGATCAAATCTCAATAAATCAGGTTGTTCTGATAAATGCAGACAGTCCAAAGGGTTAGAAACTTGTCTCAGTTTATCATTCAATCCAATATCCAACAACACATCCACATAGTCATAAAGTTTCACTCCACATCATCCACAACCTTCCCAAAATCCAACTTAAATCACTAAGTCAAGTCTAATAAAATTCCCATAAGCTAAGAAGATCATTCAAGAAGTTCAGAGTTAAAGAACCAAAGAAAGAAAGAAAGAAGAGCTCAAAAAACGGAAGGAAGAGTTTCAGTTCCACTTGACTTGTTTTTGGCTTGCAAGCTGCATATTAAAATATTTTTTGTTGTTTCTTTTTCTCTGTTTTTGGCTCACATTCGTTCTTGTTTCTCTGAATTTTAATTGATTTTTTCGGAATAGTTTCTTGGTTCCTTTGGAATTATTTTGTCAGATTTAAGCATGGAAGGTCATGCTGACTTCTTTAACATTAAAACACAATTTAATTATTTAATTAACTTTTATTTAAAATTCAACAATTTAAATCCACAGAACCCTAATCTGGGTCCAATAACAATCAATGGATGTCCTTAAGCCTCCTCATTCAACAGTAATGGAACTAAACAATGTTGAGTGCTTTCCATTTGGTAAATGTCCAACACAATGTCCAGTAACAGTTTCACCAGAGTCAGCATAAACAGCTACGACTGTGTGGACTTCAAAATTCTTTGGATCACAATCAACACTTGATGGTGGCTTTCCACTTGACCAGATGCTTTGACATTCTGCACAGAAATCAGGTTTTGATGATGATGGCTGCTCAGTTGTTGAGTCTGGAATGTGTGAGTCACTGCCAGCTAGGGTAAGAGTGACTAAGGTGCTGATGAAGATTATGATGATGACTGACTTCATTTTTGTGGATGTTCTGAACTAGTTTGGACTGTGCTGGATGTCTGGAACTTGACTGATTATGAATTTGAAATATTTTCAACTTTTTATACAAAATTTAAAAACTTTAAAAAAATAATTAAAATTGAAAATCGTTAAGCAAGTTTCAAGTCCAAGATCAATAACTTTTAAGCCATGCAACTTTAATTAGAAAAGTTATTGGACAATGGAACTTAATCGTGACTTTAATATAAGCTTTTAAGGTCTGATGACAAAGAAATTTGCTTAGAAATTTCAGACTTAAGTTTTAAAATTGCATAAAATTCAGGCGAATTCCAGGAAAATTTCGAGCCTAGTTCTAATCAGTGCTTAAGCTGATCATGTTGCAGTCAATCCGAATAAATCAACACAAAACTCACTGCAAGGGTCCAATTCATCATTCACAAGCATCAAGAAATATTTCATCGATTCCATCAACAACAAGCAGCGCTGCTGATTAAGACCAAAATTATAATCGATCTGAAACGGCACTGATGATGTGCTTTACATCTGATTTATATAATATTTGAGTATATTAATATCGAGTAACGGACAGCATTGAAGATTTTCAGGTTGAATGGATTTTTAAGGTTCTGTGCCTGCATAATTTCCATTGGAATTTAAAAACTCATTTAAAGTTGCTCCACTTCCCGTCCTTAAATAATTTCTCGTGCTATAAAAAATCTCATCAGAGCAACTTTAAAGTGTCTTCGCGGTCTGCGACATCGTCCAGCCATAAAATTGATTTTTTATGTCCTTTTTTGCTTCTTTTTCAGTTTTTTCATTCATGAATTTTTTTTCTGCACTAAAAAAACTTTTGTTGCTGGTTTTGCGCACTTTTTTGCTTCTTTTTCTTCCTTTTTATGCTCCCGGTGTTCATTTATTTTGCTTTTTTATGCAATTTTGCTTTCCCTTTTGCTGCCGCTTTTTGTGATTTTTTTTTGTTGCTTCATTCGTTGCTCATAGCGCACCAATTTGTGTCAGGCACGGCTGGATTATTCCTTGGTGTTGTTGTTGTGATTTTTGAGTATTTTTTTAAGATTTCGAATTTTTGTTAATTTTTTCAGCATCTAGGAACATCAAACCAGGACCAGATGTCAAATTTTGCAACTTTTTAATTATCTTATCCAAAACTCACTCAAAAAATATTAAAATCAACAAGATCCTAACCTCAAAATTCACAAAAATTCCAACACAATCAATTCTACATCCACAAAAGATATTGCAGTCATTATTGCAAGACACAAGACACATTCGAATGAGAAATGAACATAAATGATGTAGATCATGCATGGAAATTATTCAATTAAGGCAAGAAGAAGGCCAGCGGGTGGTGAAGAGTCGAAGAATATTTTTTTTGCAGGAACGACGACTCGAATGGGAAGAAAAAGAAGGCAAAAAATGAAGAAAAAGTCGTGTTTTGATCGTTCTTGAGAATCATGTAAGGTGCTAATTGCTGTGATTTATCAAAAATGAGTTAATCGATTTCATAATATAGGATTTGGTAGGACAGGGCTGTGATTTGGGATATGGACCAGGATGAGACGAGAGTCTGCAATATTTTGTACATTTTAACTGGTTTTATATTTTTTTTGTTACTACTCGGAGACTTATCTGTGACTTATCCACTATATGAGTCCCCTATGGACCCCCTATGAACCCCTATGTCCTTCCATGTATCCCATTAGACCCCAAAAACCCAGATTAACTCTAAAATTCCAATTCAATTCCACAACAGTTATTCAACATTTTGCCAACAACTCTGCTGTATGTGTGCCTTCATAATCCACAAACATGCTGATTATTTATGACAAATATGTAATTTTTAATTCATTAATTTCTTAAATTTTTCACCCATTGTCTTTCAAGTCACTTCAGCTCATCTTTTTATATTTTTGAGAAAAAGTTTCACATACAATGGACAATTGTGTCGACTATTTTGGTATGTGTGATGCTGAAGATCCACCAAAAAAACAATTCATATGCCATTAAGTGAGGTTCACACATTAAATGATATGTAATTAGAGTTTCCCATGCTAATCTCACCACAAATATCACCCAACACAGTGTCCACGACTATAATTTTATTTCTCTTTTGTCCACAGCTACGGACAGTCTCACAGCACTCGACACGACAGATGAATGTATGAGCTTCAGTCCACACATAAAATTTTCATGCATTAAGTATGTGATCACTGCCGAAAATAATGTGGAATTAAAAATTTCTATTTCGTGAGACTTTTTTTTTTTTGGTCTTCTCGGTTTGTGTGACTTTTTGGTAAGACAATGAACTCATTTGATGGAAATCTTCTGCTTTTCTTTTGTGGATCTTCTTAATGTGAATTTTTTGGGTTTATTTATTTTATTTTTGTGAATTTTTGATGGGTCATGTGTGAATGAATTAACTGTTTTTGGTGCTTGAATATGACAAAGCGATGCTTATTGCAAGGTTCTTTAGAAGGTTTCTATGATCATGAACCTTTAAATCTCTTAGAAGACTAAGCTACACTTCAGCATAGACTTACAGGCACACAAAAGCTTGATGTAAACATGTCAATTCACAGTTCACAGGTTCCAACAATGTTGTCTTGATTATCACAAGCTGTTACATCCATCAGTACCTTTAAATATTCAATTATGCTCACCAACAATCCCTAAATTTCATAAGAATCAAAATCTTCATCAATCGATGTCCTTCACAATCCACAAATCATCGAAAAAAAGCTCAAAAACTTCACTTGTGTGAGTGAAAAAAGAATAAATGAATAAAAATTGAGTAAATACAGCACAAGCACGTAAGAAACATAGTAAAAATTGACAACCCTTGCCACACATTAACAGTCATTCCTTATCAGCATCGCTTGTGCTGTTTACATCAACACTACGCATGTACCCAAAAAAATAATAAGAAGTTCTTATAGCAGCAGTGAACATATCAGCAGAACCAACGATATATGATGATAAACAGCAAGTCAGTCACACACACGAGCAGCAAGCATCCAGCACAGCAAGCAGCAGAAAGAGGTGGAATATGCGCGGCTTTATTTTTATTTCACATTTTCCAATTTCACATATTCTCGATATTTTTATATGAGCAGCAGTAGCTTTATATGAGCAGCAGTAGCAGAAGTATGAGAAGGCAGCACTAACACACATTCATAACCAATACATTCACATCCAGTTGTGTGTGTGTGCGAGGCACATCTGAATATGCTGAAATGGGAATGGAAAAATATACAAAATGTGATGTGTGCTTTCCTTCTACATGTTTTGTGTTGTGCTGCTTTCTTTTGCATTTCTCCTCTCTTTACTTGCTTGCTGCTTACTTTTCCATATTCGTCGTTGTCGTTGCCACCACTGCTGCCACTCCACTCCACTTTCTTTCTCCCGCTGATATTTTTTTTTTACAACGAATAACAAAAAAAACCCGAAGAATAAAATATTTTGCTGTACATAAGGCACATACATGCACATAAAGCTTGGCAGATCGAAATGAAAATTAAATGCGAACGGGTTAAATTTTGGAAAAGTAATTTTTATTGAACTTCCATGCATAGCTACCATAGCAGCTTATTTTATACAGTATCTAAAATTTTAAATTTAGTAAAACCTTGAAAATCAGCAAATGCAGCTCCATATTCAGTCATGTTGAAGATATCGTTGTACACGATAGTTGGGACTTTGCCACTTTGTGCTAAAATTGGTGCTGTGACTTGTTCAGCAAGAAGTTCCAATGTATATCCACGACTTTCGACACAATATTGGACTTCTGGGACCTTTAATCCAGCATCTATTGTGCATTGTTCTCTGACTCTGTCAGGATTCATATCACAAATTACAAAAGCTGTCTGTCTATCTTGGTCAGGTCCAATCATATCCAATGCACACAATTCCCAGACATTTCCATAGCATTCCAATGGACCATGTTGGCATGTGAAGTTAGCTTTACCGTCTGGAGTGTCTGTATGTGAGGATTTCCCAAATGGAACATAAACAAAGTTCACGTAGTCCTTAAAGTTATAATAATTTGGCTTCAACTGCGACTGAATAAATTCTTTGGAAAATCGACACTCAGATTCATAATAAATTGTAACTTTTAACTTTCCAGCACTGCTGATTTTTACGACGCAAATTACAAAAAATATGAAAATTTTACTAAACATTCTGATAACTTTTAAGGTTGAACTGGAAATGAATTTTAATTTTGTTGTTTGAGGAAACTTTAAAGCTTCAAATTCGTGATTGATAAAAAAAAATGTCATAAATTTATTTTATTTTTATTATTGGAAATTTTAAAAGTTAAATTTTAATTACTGTTCTGAATTTGGGAGTCACGAATTGTGGAGCAAGTAAAATTTATACTTTTAGGAATTGAGTTGTCAATAAGTTTATTATCTTTTTAAAGGAGTTTGGGAGATGAATTGTGATTTTGTCTAATAAAAAGAAGGGTATTTTTGATAAGAGCTGCTTACCCATCAGAATAAAACCTTTACACCCCCAAGAAAAAAAAACTTCATCGACCTCCGATTATGAGCTTTTTAAATCACTGAACAATAGCTTCGTACTCCTCAATATAATAAAATACAAAGTTTTGTAACCCTCCGGTTAATAGCTTCATTTCCGTCTGAATAAAAATTGTGTAACAATCAGACTAATAGCTTCGTACCCCTTTGATAAATAGTTTCGTACCCCTTTGATAAATAGATTCGTACCACTTAAATTAAAAGCTCATTTTTCCTTCATAAAAGAGTTTCGTACTCCTTAGAACAAAAGCTTTATATCCTAAAATTAATAGACCCTTAGACAAAAATCTTCGTACCCCTCAGAACAAGAGCCTTTTACATATAGTGTACTGTTTATATAAATGATATTTGCATTAGATAGTTCGCAAAATAAAAAGTTGAAACAAAAATTTATTTTCTTAATTTTTCAATATTTTATTCAAATTATTATTTTTTTTTTCATTCACATTCTTGCACATTTTCCCGGAATTGAGAATCTTTTTCATTTCTCATCCACAAATAAAATTAAAATAAAACAAATTTTTTTGTCCATAATTTTTTTTATATTTTCATAACATTTATCTTAAGTTTAAAAATTTTATTCCACATTTTCTAAATTTTTAATTCTTTTTTTTGTGTCTAAACTTTCTTTTAAGTTATGTTCATTTTCTTTTTAAAATATAAATAAGTGGTTTTTGCTCATTTTTAAGTTAATTAATATCATTATGTATATAAATAGGATTTTTAATGATGCATTACATTTACGTTACTCATGTGAAAGTGTTAAAAATTTTAAATTTAATTATTTTTTTTTGTACAGCAATAAATTCATCGATGTCGTTTCCTAAATATTTTTTTATATTTTTTTGAAAGTTTTTTCTTAAAAAGAATTTTTTTATTCAAACTTTTTTTTTGTGTCTAAAAGTTTTCTATTCAATTTTTTACTTTTTTGAAATAGTATTTTTTTTACATTTATTAGATTATAATTCTGGATTATAATATTTTTTGTGGATTTTCTATTTAAATATTATTTTAAGTCCAAAAAATTTGAAATTTTTCAATTTTGACTTTATGATTTTTAAAATTTGAATTTTTTAATATTTTTGAAAACGTTCCACAAATGTTAAAATTTCAAATTTTAAAAAAATTATTCTTTGACTTTTACATTTTTTGACTTTTTCAAAATTTAATATTTTTTGACATGTATTTTTAAAAATCATTCAAATTTTTCACATTTTTCAGAATTTTAAATTACTTTTTATGATCTTTGGCATGGAAATTTTACACATGTTGAGTAAAAAACCATAAATTACATAACTATAGTTGAATAGTCAGTCAGTCGATTAAAAAATATTCTCAAAAAAATATTTTCTTTTTTCTGTTTCCTATTTTGTTCTGTATTGTGTAAAAAATCAACTATTGAGCGTCCTGTTTCACATAAAAATTATATTCTATTGTATTTTTAATATCGCATTTGATTTGTTTTTTAAATTTCTATTTTATTTTAACAATTGGAGGTAAAAATGTTGAAATAAGGAAGAAGAGGGTTCGGCATTTTGTGACTTAACAATTTTTTTCAGTTTACGTTTCTATTTCATCAAATTAAATAAACATTTTCATTTCAATACTGTCAATATGTTGCTATTAGTTTTGTCTTATTATTCTATTGAGTTTTTTTTTCTGTGTAAAAAAAATCATGCAATTTATTTTTTTATGTTTTTTTTTCTTCTGTTTTTAATGTAATGGATTCAATAACAATTCTATTGTAATTTGCTATTTTTAGTTTCTTGATTGTCTTCTTTCGTCCTCTTTTTGGTTGAATGTTTTTCTTTTGAGGTCGTTTGAGGAATTTTCGTTATTATTTGTAGGTCAATGCTTGCGTTTTGTTCAGTATCTCATACCAATCACTGCGTTTATCTAATTTAAAGTTGCGTACCCCTTTAACTAGAGTTACGTACCCCTTTATTTAGAGTTGTATGTTTCTTAACCTATATTTGAGTACCCCTTAATCTAGAGTTGTGTACCCCTTAACTTAGAGTTGCCTATCCTTAACTTAGAGTTGCCTATCCTTAACTTGGAATTGCGAACCCTTAACTTGGAGTTGCGTTCCCCTTAACCTAGATTTGCGCACTCTTTAACTATAATCTGCATACCCCTAACCAAAAATTGCTTTCCCAAAGTCTACAGTTGCGTACTTTTAACCTAGAATAGCGTACCCCTTAGATGAACGAACTTTTAAAATAGGAGCGTCGTACCCCTCAACAAAAAGTTGCACTTTTACACTATAATGCTTAAATCTTTATTTTGAAGCTGCGTCCCTTCAACTTAAACCGATGTGCTCCTTATTTTGAGCAGAAGAAAATATTCTTTGCCTTTTATCTCTTATGAAGAACTATGCGATAAGTTCAAAGCTAAGTATTTGTAAGCTCGATCTGGGTTCCAATCATTTGAAGCTTCATAAACTCAAATTTAAAGTTGTATATTCGTTAATAAAGGGTTTAAATGTCCAACAATTCTAAGCTAGATTCCTTTTTCTAGGATTTTGCACCATTTTCTGCGATTTTCTTAACTTGAAGCTGTGGACCCTTCATCAAAAGTTGCATACCACTTTAGAGTTTACAGAGAGCTTCACATTTCCGATTTCTAATAGAACCAGCCTAAATTAAAAGCTTTGCATCCCTAAATTAGACTCAACAATCTTCATCCATTAGCTGTGATCTTCCTTTGTAAAGATGCATGCCCCGCTGACTTAGAAGCTAATAGCTTTAACCAGCAGATCCACCTTAAAGCTGTTAACCTCTTATAGAAGAGCTGTGCGCCCTCAATAAAAAGCTTCGTACCCCTTAAAAGACTTTGCATATCCTCAAACCACCTCAAAGAAAAGAAAATTCCTCCAAACAAAGTAGAAAGAACTTGTAATGTTTAAGAATTAATAATAAAAAAAAAAATGTTGTTGGTTAAAAAAAAACACAAGAAACATAAAAATTTATGTGTGAAAATTTGTTCAACAATACCGGTTCTGTTTCAGTTTTTTTTCTTCTGTACAAAAAATAAGGCTCGTTTGTCTATTGTTCATCTATTATTTCCTATTATAAAATGAAGTGTTCTTTATATCACCTGTTTATTGCAATTAAGTCTGTTTTCTGTGTTGTGTTTTTAAAAATAAATAAAAATGAATTTTAAGACTGAATTTTTACTTTTTTTTTGTTTTGTTTTGAGTTCCAAAGATCATCAGTTTTTGTTCTGTTAAGTGACTTTTTTGTCATTCTTGCGAAATTACTTTGTTAATTTTGAATCCGACGTGTTTTTTTCTTCTTTTCTTGTTTAATAAATGAAAATTTTTCATTCACAATGAGGACTTTTTCCTCCTCACATTTTCTCTGTAAAGGTTAATCTCTATCTTAAATGATTCTGACTTATGAATAATGAGTTATGAGACATAAAATATATATTATTATTGTTTTTTTAAATTTTCCTTTTTCTTGTTGCATTATTTTACGTTTTGCTTTGTATAACTTTGAATGTAAAAAAAAGAAGAAAATATGAAAATTATTCTCGTTTTCTATTGCATTTTATGGTTTTTATATGCTGCGTTTTGAATGTATGATGCACTCATTGAGTTTTATATGAATCAAATTTCTTCAACAAATAAACTTGGAATTGACAGAGTTGTGGTTTTGGGTTCGGTGAAGTGCATATTTATCTGTGTACCCCCTTTTTTGGAGCTATCAAATCGTATTTTAGAACATTAAACTCGCTTAGATAGATTACCTTTCTTAAAGAGTTATGTCCCCTTCTTTGAGAGCCATGTACCCCTTTTTGTGAGCTATGTACCCCCTCTTTGAAAGCTTTGTACCTCTTCTTACAGAGCTATTCTGTGAGAGCATCATCTTTGAGAGTTCTGTACCCCCTCTTTGGAAGCTATGAACCCCTTCTTTCAGAGATGTGAGACCCCCGCATTAGAAAACTATGTACCATTCTTAGAAAGCTATATAACCTTCTTAGAGAGATTTTTACCCATTTTAGAGCTATTTTCCTTATCTTTGTCCCACTCTTTGGAAGCTATGTGCCCCTTATTATAGCGCTATTTTCATCATCTTTGAGAGTTCTGTAGCTTTTTTGGAAGCTGTGCACCCCTTATTATAGAGCTACGTACCCCTTCTCAGAGAACTTTGTACCCCTTCTCAGAGAGCTGTGTACCTCTTCTCAGAGAGCTATGTACCCCTTCTCAAAGAGCTATATACCCCTTCTAATAGAACTATGTACCCCTTTTCAGAGAGCTATGTACCCCCTCTTTGAGAGTTTCAAATCATCAGTTTAACATCATCGTCCCCCTAAAATCCCAACTCTGTCTATAAGCAAAAAATAGAAACACTGAATGAAAGCAATTCTACATGAATCGCTGTTGTTGAAGGAACTGTCAGATATAAAATATATTCCTTTTTTTTGTTGTGTTTTTATATCAAAAACTGCATTGCATGGAAATAAAAACAGTGATTAAGAAGAAGAAGTTCACATAAAAGGAATAAAAAAAAATTCATTCGCATTTTGCAGAGTTTAACTAACTTTTTTTTCCACACAACTTCTATTCAACTTTTGTTTTCTGCTTAAATGCAGTCTTGGTTTATTTAAAACACAAATGCGAGAATTTGTTTTAAATTGTCAATCATTTTTCATATTCATGAATGTGTAGTTTTTGGCTTTCTTTTATGTATTTTTCGTATTGAACTATCGATTCCATATCCTGGCCTTCCGATTTTTCGTTCATTATTTCACGATTTTCTTTTGTATTTGTTCAACACTTTGCCAACTCATTTATTGATTTTTATTTTGTGTGTTGTTTTTTTTGAATTGTAAGACGTTGAGGAACGTGAGATGCGAGATTGAAGTTGCATGAATTATTTTTGATGGTAAATTTCCTGTCACTTTGAGTTCGTGTCAGTGTTTGGTTTTTGAAAGGGGGTAATTAGGCATTAGTTTTTGGGTATAATTGACATCTTAGTGAATCAGCTTTGGTCAAATTATGAAGCTGTGTACCCCAAAATTTGAATCTGTGTACCTCACGACTTGAAGCTAAGTACCCGAAACAAAAAGCTGTGTACATTAAAACTTGAAGTTGTGTACCCAATACATAAAGCTGTGTACATACAAAACTGCGTGCTCCAAGACTTGATCCGCATACCCAAATCTAAAAGCTGTGTTATCCAGGATTAATGCTGCGTACCCCTAACCAACAACGTCAATTTCAATTCAACAGCATCTCTAACATACAATCTCATTTCCAATTCAAGTTCATCGACCTCATTTAGGCTTTTCAATCAATTTGTCTTCTTTTGTCATGCTCATTCATGTGTCTATAGTGCACAAATTTATTTATTATTGAATTTCTTTAATTCCTCAATTTCTCGATGGAAGAAAAAAGTAAAGTTTCCTGCAGAAACCGCACAGTAAAGAATCTTTTTTCATCTCGCTTGCTGTTTTGCACCTGCAAGAAGCATAAAAACCACCGATGACAGCATTTACAGTGAGTTTTTTTTATACTTTTTTAATTTATGTACAAAAAGATTATTTTTTTTTGTATTGATTGAAAATTAAAATCTGGTTTTTTGCTTCTTCATTTATTCTCTAAGTACCCTGTATTATGATTATTGTATTAAGTTGCATAGTCTTTTATGCTTCTTTTATGTTATTTTATGGACAAATTAAGCTTTTGTCTTTTGAATCTTTATTTTTTAAATTATTTGAAGTTTGACGCTATTTACAGATGAATGACTTTGCTTTTTTTTTGACTTCTTGAGTTTTTTTTTTTGTGAATTTTTAGATTAAAAAGCTTGGCTGAAAAATTCTATGGCAAGTCTTAACAATCGCTTTTTATTAAACTCGAGTGTAGCTCTCCAGAAATGGCATGTTATAGATCTGGAGCTGATTTTTTGGGCTATCTGAGGAATGTCCTTTAATGCCAATTATCCAATCTACAATGGTGTTCATCGGGTTGCACTAAAAGGTAATTCCAGGCTATTTTTATCAAGCTTAAACTACCACAATGCCTTCAGACAAATCAATTAAGCCATAATATAACAGATTGATGTGTCTTTAGGCTTACTTGATCTTTTTCCTCTTGCCTAGCTAGTCTTCAATCTAAAAATTCACTTTTCTTCCTCATTTAACTCTTATAGTCGCAATTGCTGTCGTCAGTGGTTCAAATGTTTCTCCTTTTATGTATTTTTAATTAGCAGGCTTCCATTTCATATCCAAGAGAAGTGTCTACTTACTCTTTTGTGCTCTAAAATCGAGAATTCTTCATTTTTGACTTGAAAGTTAATGTGAATTTTGCACCAAAAATTAAAAAAATATTAAAATAAATTAAATAAATCTACAAAAATAAAATAAAATCGTTGAATTTTCATATAAAAATTATAATTTAAATCTTTTCTTTTTGTTTTATTAAAATCTCTCTTTTTTTCATCATATAAAAAATCTATAAATTATAATTAAATTTCGAGTAATTAAGCTAAACTAAATTTATATATTGCAGCAGCTTGAAGTTGAAAGTTAAAGGTTTATGGGGTCGATTTACGGTTAAAACGTGGATTAAGGCTCCTAAAAACTAAAGTTTGGAATCAGAACAGAGCTCAACAGTTTCATTATTTTTGTAAGAAGTTCTGTCAACTTCAACTCTGCCTTCGGGTTCTGTTTTGAGTTCCACACTTTACTTTTGAAGTCACACTGTTTTATTGATCATAGCTCTAACCTCAAAAAACCATAAACTCTCACCATCCACACTAAAAATTAAGCTTCTTAGGCTTTCATACATTTTTTTAAATTAATTTTTTGAAAAATTATAATAATCAAAATATTGCAGAATAAACATTTTTTTTATCACTTTAATAATGCGAGAATAATAAAATTATACAAAAATAAATAAATAAAATTAAAGGAAGCACATAAATTTCAACAGTGACATAAGAAACTAAAGCTACAGCAAAATTATTATTAAAATAAAAATAATATTTTTATATATTTGTGCATTGAACTTGTTCAGTGTGCAATTTCTTACAATTGTAATTTTTTTTTCTTGCATGTGTGTGATTTCTAATATAAATAAATATAAAATGATTCTAAACTTAAATTACTAATTCAGTGACTTTAAATAAATGGAAAAAAATTATAATTTTTTTATAAATTTTTAATTAAGCACCAATTTTCTATTGAAAATTATAAAAATAAAGGAAAGGAGAATTTTATGGAATTTTCCCAGAGAATTTTTGTCAATTTTTTTGAGAGATTTAATTCCGTTTTTGATCAATTGAGTCAATAGTGGACTCAGAGGCAACTTCAAGGTATCAGCAAGCTTGTTGATTCTGAATTCTTAAAGTTTGACCAAGAGCAGCATCTACTTGACACTATTTAGTACCGCATTTGTATCTTCAATGATTAATGAAGAATCTAGCATTAAGTCATGGATTGAAGCATAAGACATGGCAATAGAAACAAGATAATGACTTTTGGCGCTAAAATTCGATGTTCTTGCATGCAAAATACCCAAAATTGAGGTTCTGTGTGCCTTAACTTAGGAGCTACTTAATTGTTCTGTAAGCTACCCAATTTACTATTTTTTAATCACCTTTATCAATTTTAAATTATTTGAGTGCAGTCAAATTTTGGTAGAATTTAGTCAATATTCTCATTTTACTGACAATTTATCTAAACTATATTCAGCATTATCAAGTAATGCCACCCAATTGAGTATTTTTAGACGTCTTTAAGTTTTCTAAATTTTTACATCTTTTTTTCTATCAAATTTATTCCCTACAATTCTCAAAAGTGCGATTTTTGTCGTTTACGAGTCCAAAAATTTACATTTAAATATTTTCTATTCACTAAACTAAATTTTTTTTCATACTTTTTCGAAACTTTTAATTTAAATTTCATCCTAAATTTTCACTCTTTTAGCTGAGTTAATTTATTTTAAACTTTCAATTTTTATATATTTTTACACATTTTTTCATATTTTCTTCTCGGGTTTTTTTTTCTCACATTTTTAATTATTTTCGATGAATTTTTCATCAAAATATTTTCTTGTCACTTTTACCATTCATCTTTAATGCCACTATTTTTATACAACTATGAATTTTTTACACTCATTTTTCTTTTAAAAACACATCATTTTAGCTTTCTTAATTTATAAATTTTAATATTTTTTCTTGCACAATTTTTTGTTGTTTTTCAGTTTTTTTTATAGAAAAAAAGATTTTTTTGAAAAAAGTCGAAGGTAAGAGTTTGTGAGGGGTTAAGAGGGGTATCAGGGGTGCACATTAGCAATGAATCTTGAATTTCAATTTTAGAACTTAGGCTTTAGAACTAAGTCTTTAGAACTAAGTCTTTAGAACTAAGTCTTTAGAAAAAAGTCTTTAGAACTAAGGTTTTAGAACTAAGTCTTTAGAACTAAGTCTTTAGAACAAAGTCTTGTAAACAAAGTCTTTAAAACAAAGTCTTTAGAACAAAGTCTTTAGAACTAAGTCTTTAGAACTAAGTCTTTAGAACTAAGTCTTTAGAACTAAGTCTTTAGCACTAAACCATCCAAAACAACAATTCATCAATCAAGTCCACCCCCACCTGAACCCAATCCGTTCCCCAAACCACAAACATAAGTTTATACACAGCCGAAAAATAAAAGAAATCTGCCCAAAAGAAGAAGAAACTTAAAAATTCATCCTTAAATGTTCTGCTTAAAATCGTCCACTAACATGTATCTGAGGTCAGTTCGGAAACATTTGACGACTCAGTGACGGCTCCGATTGAGCACTTCCATTCTTTTCACGATTTAAATTGAGCGGTGTTGAAGGTAATGAGTCATCGAGTGACTGTACAGACCCTGTATCACTTTTGCAGTCATCATCTATCACCATTGGCATCATAGGCTGATGAAGTCGAGCATCTGGTGGCAAAAGATTCAGCATGCTTAATTGAAGTCCTGAAAATCCACCAGCACCTGGAAAATCTGGGTAAAATCCACCTGGGAATGGATTGAAAAGTGGGTTCATTAGATCTGGATCACTTGATTGACTTCTACGTGGTCCACCGTGCTGTGAGCCTGGTTGTCCGTCGGAATTTCTTCTTGGCATATCATCATCTCGTCCATCATCACCCTTTTCCTTCTTTTTCTCACCAGGTGCACCCGGTGTCATCTGTAGCATCTCAATTGGTGGTCCACTTATGCAATCTTTCCGTAGCTGCTCAAGTTTTAAACTTTTTCCATACTTTCCACGAACATACATGAGGAGTGAGTTGTATGGAATGCCAAATATTCTCGATGCTTGACTTGTTGTCATTTTCTTATTCCACACATGCTGGAGAGCTTCAGTCAGTTCTGCATTTGTCCATGATCGAGGTGGTCCACCACGTGGTGCACTGTGTTGGCCCTTGGGTCGTTGTACTGTTGATGGATTGGTTAAATATGGTTATTTTAAGGTTGATAAAATAGTTTGAAAAGGGGTGAAAGTATAAGAAGGGAGAAGCTACGATTGTGACAATTTATGGGCACAGAAGCTAAGCTGAATAAATGTGAAGAAGGAAAAGCTATACTGATATGAATTTGAGGCAACAGAAGCTTTTAAAGTCAAAATTTGATATTTAAGGGGTGTGAAACTACGAAATATTCATTTTTGGTTATGATAGTAGCTTTGTAGATGAACTTTAAAGGAAACATAGGCTACAATTAGGTAAAAAATCAGTAAAACCATTTAAATCCACAGCAAATCTCTCCAACAATATCAAAATATTTCCCACATTTACCAATAACTCACGTTATTTAGACCATAAACAGTTATGATAAAAGAAAATTTCCAAATCTCAAAAAAAATATTATTCATTAATGAATCAAGACAACAGAAACCGATTTGAATGAGTTCATTACACTTCATGCATTAATGTGTGATTTTCCGGACCAAACATAAGATCATAAATACAGCAATAATTTGTATTATTTTTTTTTATATTTAACAAATGGATTCACATGATCTGATCGGGAAATTTATGCCGCAAAAATTGATTGCTTGAAAAATTCTCGAATAATTATAAGAAAGCCTCAATCAAGCGAATCAATGCTGCTGTTTTGAAACATATCCAAAATGATAGAAATCAAAATATCCGTTATGATTTGGATTTAATGCATGGATGATGTGTGTGCAGGTGGAAAATATTTTTATGTTATGGCTGATTTGCTGTGAATTTTTTTTGAGGTTATGTACTTACATTTTTTCTTTAAGAATGGTTGGTGATCAGGATGAAGTTGTCTGTGAGCTGGATGATGATCTGGAAGGTCCATTAATGGATTGTACATCTTTGATGGGTCCATGCCAGGTGGGAAGAGTCCAAGAGGTGAGTCTAGACCAAACACTATACCAAGTAGACATCAAATTAACTCAAATATACTTTAAAACTTACACATTCTAATACTTACTGTGCGGCGGGGTTAGAGTCAATGCAGATACGGATGGAAATGACATGGGTGACTGTGACGGATGACCTTGTGGATGTCCATGACCCCTTAGGGATGGTCCATCGCCTTGTGAGAATGGAGGTGGGTGAAATTGTGACATATTTGCATTATGTTGATTCATCATGTGTGCTGCAAGCTTTTGATGATTCTCACGAACATTTTTCTCATGTTGTTGCTGCTGGTAATTTGGATGTGGTAAGTCAAGTTGATCTGGGAATGGTGGTGTCTCAGCATCTGAATGATCCGATTCAATCTTCATATTATTATCTTTATTATCATGTCGATCATTTTGAGACATTTGAAAGCTCGGTGGTGGTGAAATTGGTAAATGTGATAGAATGTCATTAAATGGATGTCCTGGTGGACCCTGACGATATCGACTGAGATGTCTTAAGTCTTTTAATGATAAAATGAATCGTTCATGAAAGTCATGTGCCTGTGGCAGTGAATGCGATCTCTTTTTACTTCCATTTCCATCATTATTGTTGTTCTTATCATTCACAATGCTATCCGAGGCTGATGATGGTGACTTTTTTGTGCATAAATTTTCCGGAACGTCTGATGTCTGCATCGAAACATCTCCGTCCGGTTGGTTCTCTTTTTCCTCACCGTCAGGTAATTTTATGTCATCATCATCCTCATCTTCATCCTCATCATCCATTCCATTATTTAATTTACTATTACTTTTATTACTACTGCTATTATTTAAGATATTGTTATTATTATTATTATTATTACTAATCGAGACATCGTCATCATCATCATTCTCCAAATCCTCACAATTCTCACGTCCATTATCCTTTGGTTCACTTAGACTCAATCCAATGCCATTTTGTCTAACACGTTTGGCAATCTCATGAAGTTCTGCATCCTCATCATCATCCGTATCAATCACATCATCAACATTCTCACATTTTGGAATTAAATTTCCATTACTTAAATCTTGTGGCTGTAATTCGCCAGTCAAGTCACCCGACCTTCGTCTTGGTCGTGCCTGTTTACGTCTCGGCATTGGACTTATACAAGAATTTTCACGTTCTGTAATTAAATCAGCTACAGCTGTGCTGCCTGTTAATGGAATCGCGTACGGTACAGCTCCAATAAGTCCACGTACTTGTAATGACTCGCCGGCTTGTATCAATTGACTTAATCGCTCCTGTGGGACGGAAATTTCACCTCGGTACATAAAATCAACAATAGCTTGAACAAGCCATCCTTTAAAATCCTTAAGTACTATTACAGGATGCTTACACGGTGTGTCGTTAAAGACGCGCTCAAAAAATGGCGAACATGCACTAAGGACAACTTTATGAGCACGTAATGAACGATCAGCGCATACGAGAGTCACATCAACAAGTGAATTTTGTTGCAAGAGTGCATCAAATGATTCCAATATGTGCGATTGATGATTGTTCCAACGGAGGCTGTAGTTCTCTTGCGCACTTGTCGACATAGTCTGAATTTGAGAGTATTTTTTTTTATTTGTGTCTTTTTTTTGATGAGTTTTTCTTGCGAAAAAATGTTTAATTTAAGCTTAGTGCTTAGTTTTGATCTTTAATTGAGTTCAGTATTTGATCAAAGAGGATGTGATGGAGTCTAGTCGATCATCTGGAATGAGAAATTAGGATAACATTGATTAGTATGAAATGTAACAGAGTCGAATGGTGCTGATTGCTAGGGTATGAGTAGGTCCTGGAGGTTGATTAAGACTACAGTCTGGATTGTAACCTTTAGCATTGATTTAAATACATAAATTGCTACAGGAGATGATAATCATGACAATCCTATTAGTTCCACAATTATATGAATTCAAACCTCAAAGCTTCTATCTTTATCTAGTATATCTAGCTCCAAATCTTATTCCATCCAATAGCAACATCCACACACTTCTGAATTCATCCAATCACACTCAACCTCATCCAAAATATTCAATAATTATTCACACAAAATTAATAAAACCCAAAAAAATAATAGAAAACCTATAAGCACACTGGAGATCTCATTAACCAAACAAATACAAAAATCATCAATCATGCATGACGAAATGCTCTCAAATATCAATTTTAAAGATGAAAATAATTCAAATTCGCTTTAATTGCTCGCGGTTAAATAATTAAAAAAATTGTGGAGTACTTTAAAGATCTTCAACAATAGAGCAACTTTAAAGCTGCGAGAAGAAAGTCCTTGAAATTTTTTTTCAACAGAAAATAAAGAGTCAGAAGAGGAAACAAAAAAGAGGAGACAAATCACCTTGATATTACATTCTCACCACCAAACGTGTCCCTTTTAAAGCACAACTTAAGGAAAAAGAATTTTTTGCGCGCTTCTGCACAAAAAAATCCCGCGATTTTTTTTTTTCTTTCTTCCACTTTAATCGCAATATCCGTTCAAGTCGCGTACACACGACACACAAGCAGTGCCGGCATGAAAAAAAAAATCAATGAACTTTTTTTTATTCTCTTTCCCATTCGTGTGCTCTTTTTTTAGACTTTTCTTCGGTGCCTTCTTATGTCTGACGTGGTTTGAGGCGCACTTTAATTCGATAATTTGAGCATTTTTGTTGTTGTGCATGTAAGCACGCCTTGTTGACTTCCTTTTCTTCAGCACTGAAGTCAATGTTGCTTTATAGCATGGCATGGCAGCAAGTAGCACAAAATGAATGAATATACACATGAGTAATGAGGATTTAAGTATGTTCATGATTAAGTTCACCCAAAAATAAAAAGTATATGGATGGAAAGTAAGAAGAGGAAGTAAGTGGAATATGGAAAAATAAAGAACTTTGAAGTGACTTTTGTGATTTTTTTTTAACGTTGGAGAAAATGAGAAAATTGTAAAAATAAAAAAAAAATTGTTGAGTGGAATTATTTTGGGAAAAAAGTCTTTGATGAGACATTCATTGACAGAAAGTCTGCATTTTTTGGTGAACTTTTAGGGGAGGGCTAATTAGAGTCTGTTTGACTTGTATTCTTGTGACACTACCGACGTTACCTAGTTCTAACCTATACCTAACCTATACCTAACCTATACCTAACCTATACCTAACCTATACCTAACCTATACCTAACCTATACCTAACCTATACCTAACCTATACCTAACCTATACATAACCTATACCTAACCTAATCAATCCCCAAACCTACTCCTTAACATCATTCGACAGAGTAATAAAAAAACTAGAGGAAATTGCCAAAAAAAAAAATAATCACGAATAAATATGTGAATCCATAGGAAAAGTCTAGTGCTGGCTCACAACAATCTATAAACACACACAAAGAATTTTCTTTTTTGAGGAGGAAAAACTTCATGTCAGTAAAAAAAAGTTCAACCAGACATACTCGAAATTGAAATCACTTGCCAAATTAGCTTTTTTTTGCGTTGTTCTGTATTATCCACAATATATAAAGTATCGTATGGAACTGGGAATGTTTATATTCATAATATATGAGTGTCATTACTTGCACGAAACGAGATCATGTAAATTTCGAATATAAAAAATGATGAAAATTATGCAAGCACAAATTTATTAAACTGACATTTAAATAATTTTTCATTTGTCTTTTTTTTTCTTCTTTTTTAATTCAGCTTTGCTTGTTATTGTTTCTGACTTTATAAAAATCCAGTTTTGATTTGAGGCTTGAGTAAGTGTGTATGACTTAAAGTTATTGATTCATGTTGAGACTCACACGGGGAGGAATTGCAGGGTTGACAATATGGGATTTTGTGTTAGCTATAGAAAGTCTAGAAGCATGATTTGTGTTTCTTAAGTGCATCCTAACTTGCAGGGCCGTTAGAACAATCTTATGAGAATATTTCTAATGATTTTCAATGGTTTTGGACTCACATTTGATCAATAAGATCATAAAACTTTAGACTAAATTCAAATTATATTAAAAACTCTCAAAAACTGCTTTTTAAGTATTCGATGTGTAATCCTAGCAGCCTAGAACCCAAGAATCATGATTTTTTGCATTAAAAATACAGATTTTTATCTACACAGCAAGATCCAGAATCAAAATTTCAACCATAGATCTGTAGTAGCTCATATCCACCACTTCTGAGGCACCTCAACCTCACCCATCCAACCCAACCCTGTCTAACCTTAACCATATAATCACAAAGCTATCAAACATCAACGACAAAATCATTAGAATTGAAAATTGTTAAGTTGAATTATTATTTTAAAGGCTTGATTTGAATGATACACGATTTTTATAGTTTTTTTTTTTCCTCCTTCTTCTCTTCTCTTCTGGCTGTGTGTGACTTTCATGTCAGCAATTTTAGTAGTTATATATATTTATGTCGTTCAAGTATGTGAAACTAAATGGGCGGGATTGAATTTGAAGAATGAGAAGTGAAAGAGAAGGTCTTTTGTGAGAAAAAGATTGGGAATTGTTTGAGTTTTGATGATTTGGAATTTTTGAAAGGGGGTTTTGAGGATTTATGAGGGTAAGTTGTGTGATTTGTGAGGATTATGGAACCTGGTGTAGGTTAAAAGGGGTTTGGGGCAGCTAAAATTATTGTCAATGAGCAAAATTGATAGAAATTTAGAGTTGGTAAGCAACTTTATGATATTTATAGTCAGAATTATCTGTAAACTTAGTTGTAAGCTTGTCACACTAAGTTTGCAAGATTATGGATTAGTATGGGTAGCCTGAGATGGGATAGTGGTGGCTAAGTGCCAAAACTTCACAGTTTTTGAGTTCTAATGCATGATAATTGTTTCTAATCAATATGTACAGACCAGATAGCATAGCATTTGGTATTGGCGATTGGCAGAGAGTTGCCAATGACAGAGTCTTTTTCAGACGTCAACTAAGGGACGCTATGGATCATAATTGATCTGTAAAGTCAGCAATGCATGTATGTATAGACTAGCTAGAGAGTTTTTATCAAAGTTTTTGACATTGTGTCTTTGGTTGAGTGTTTATGGTGCTAGTTGTCAGTATTAAGGCGATATGTCAATAACTTTAAGGGATACTGGCTTGTAAAACATGAGCTAGAGGTAGGGTTACCATCTAATTTTCATGAAAAAACAGGACTTTTGGTAAATTTTTTCGAAAAATACAGGACATAGAGTAAAATTCGAAAATTAACGGAAATTTTCGTGAAAAAAATACAGGACCTGGAACAAAGTTTTCAAATTTATACAGGACAGGGTTTTGAAATACAGGACTGTCCGTTGTAAAACTACGCAGATGGTCACCCTAGCTAGAGGTCCTACGAACCTGATCTTCAATAAAACTGTCTTTAAATTGTCATAATATGCCAACTTGAACTCCAAATCACCCCAAAGTATAGTTAACATTCGCAACCCAGATCACCCAAGCCAACCCAATCTAAACTTCATAAAATTAACTCTTTTTGATTAAATAACCTAAAATTACAATTTATCCATCAACAAAGACCTCATGACTAATTCATACGAGCACCTAACAATGCCATTCAATTACGAAAATATAAACCACATTTTTTTCGTGTGAGAGAAATCGTCATAAATTTAAGCAATTCACATTCACAACAAAAAAATTTCATAACACATTTTTTTACGAAATGCCCAAATATAAATTTTAACACAGAATGGGTCAGTCGCAGAAAAACGCGGGAGAAAGAAGAACAATTAAAGCTTTTTAAATTAAGACAAACAAGTTTGAGCACATAAAGTGGAATAAAAAAAAATAATATTATACATACTTATTATCATGAGATTCATGCATCATCATAGATGGGTGAGAATTTAGAGCCCACCAAAAAAAATAATAATAATAATTAGACAATGTGCGAGCGTGTGATGTGTTTGAGATTCTTTCCCACGATATCATTTCTATCGTTTTTTTTGCCTTATTTTATATTATTTGGTGTATGCGGCTACACGGCTACGAGCTATTTGTATCAAGATAACCGTTATTCGCTAGTTTATTTTTTTGGATAAATTTCACCATAAAGATGCAATTTTGCTTTTTTTTGAGTTTAATTTTTATTTTGCTGGAACGGGATTTGTTTTTATGAATTGAGTAAGTTTTGAGCGCTACTGGATTAAAATTGTAGAAAATGAAATTGACCGTGAAAATTTTAGGATGATTTGGATTAATTTTGATAGATTTTAAACGTTATGAATTATTATTATTTAAAAAGTGTGGAATATTGAATGGATTATGGATGAATATGGAGCATAAAGAAGTTGTTTATTTTTGGGCACGTAACACAGACAATTTTTGATGCTCTTGTTAAAGCTAAGACATCCTTTAAATCGATTGAATGTTTTTAAGTATAGAATAATAAACATTCAGGTTGTTCAGCTTTTTGTGGATCATATCAAAGCTGAATCAAACGATTTTCAATATATTAATCAACAAAAGACGGTGAAATGACCAATTTACTCAATCATTTAAGTGTAAAGAATTCCTAATGAATTTTAAAATGTACAACAATACACAATTTCATGTATATGT